AAATTCAAACTTTGCACTACTGAGCATGTTGCTCCTGAGCATAATATACAATGCATTGTGGGTGTCAAATTCAAACTTTGCACTACTTAGCATGTTACTACACATATATGCAATGCATTGTGGGAGTTGAATTCAAATTTTGCACTACTTAGCATGTTACTGCACATATATACAATGCATTGTGGGAGTTGAATTCAAATTTTGCACTACTTAGCATGTTACTGCACATATATGCATTGTGGGAGTCGAATTCAAATTTTGCACTACTTAGCATGTTACTGCACATATATGCAATGCATTGTGGGAGTCGAATTAAAATTTTGCACTACTTAGCATGTTACTGCACATATATGCATTGTGGGAGTCGAATTCAAATTTTGCACTACCTAGCATGTTACTGCACATATATGCAAAGCATTGTGGGAGTCAAATTCAAATATTGCACTACTGAACATGTTACTGTGGGAGTCGAATTCAAATTTTGCACTACTTAGCATGTTACTGCATATACATGCAATGCATTGTGGGAGTCGAATTCAAATTTTGCACTACTTAGCATGTTACTGCACATATATGCAATGCATTGTGGGAGTCGAATTCAAATTTTGCACTACTTAGCATGTTGCTGCACATATATACAATGCATTGTGGGAGTCGAATTCAAATTTTTCACTACTTAGAATGTTACTGTACATACATGCAATGCATTGTGGGAGTCGAATTCAAATTTTGCACTACTTAGCATGTTACTACACATATATGCAATGCATTGTGGGAGTCGAATTCAAATTTTGCACTACTTAGCATGTTACTGCACATATATGAAATGCATTGTGGGAGTCGAATTCAAATTTTGCACTACTTAGCATGTTACTGCACATATATGCATTGTGGGAGTCAAATTCAAATTTTGCACTACCTAGCATGTTACTGCACATATATGCAATGCATTATGGGAGTCAAATTCAAATTTTGCACTACTGAACATGTTACTGTGGGAGTCGAATTCAAATTTTGCACTACTTAGCATGTTACTGCACATATATGCAATGCATTGTGGGAGTCGAATTCAATTTTGCACTACTTAGCATGTTACTGCACATATATACAATGCATTGTGGGAGTCGAATTCAAATTTTGCACGACTTTGCATGTTACTGCACATATATGCACTGTGGGAGTCAAATTTTGTACTACTTAGCATGTTACTGCACATATATGCAATGCATTGTGGGAGTCGAATTCAAATTTTGCACTACTTAGCATGTTACTGCACATATATGCATTGTGGGA